ATATACTTAACAAGTTTAGCATCTCTAATCTGAAAAATCTGAAATCCAAAATCTTTTTTTTTTTCTTTTTTTTTTTTTTGAGACAGGGTCTCACTCTGTCATCCAGGTTGGTGTGCAGTGGTGCAATCACGGCTCACTGCAGCCTCGACCTCCCAGGCTCAAACAATCCTTCCACCTCAGCCTCCTGAGTATTTGGGACTACAGGTTCGAGCCATCATATCTGACTAATTTTATTATTTTTTGTAGAGATGGGGTTTTGACATGTTGCTCAGGCTGGTCTTCAACTCCTGGGCTCCAATGATCCTCCTGCCTTGGCCTCCTAAAGTGCTGGGCTTACAGGCATGAGGAACTGCATCTGGCCCAATGAACATTTCTTTTCTTTTCTTTTCTTTTTTGTTTTTGCTTTGAGACAAGGTATCATTCTGTTGCCCAGGCTGGAGTGCAGTGGTGAGATCTTGGCTCACTGCAGCCTCAACCTCCTGGGCTCAAGCGAGCCTGCCACCTTGGCCTTCCAAGTAGCTGGGACCACAGTTGCGTGCCAGCACACCCAGTTAATTTTTTGGTATTATTTGTAGAGACAGGGTCTTGCTATGTTGCCCAGGCTGGTCTCTAACTCTTGGGCTCAAAAGATCTGCTTGCCTCAGCCTCCCAAAGTGCTGGGATTACAGGCATGAACCATCATGCTTGGCTCCAATGAGCATTTCTTTTAAGTGTCATGTCAGTGCTTAAAAGTTTCAGACCTTGGAGCATTTTGATTTTCAGAAATTTGAAATTAGGATGCTTATAACCTGTACTAGCAACTATCAGAAGTTGAAATAGAAAAATACATTTACAATAGCATAAAAAATATAAACACTTTGGAATAAATCTGAGAAAAGATGTGGAAAATCTATACAATGAAAACTATAAAATATTACTGAGAGAAATTAAAGATATAAATAAGTACTAAGGTATACCTTGTTAATGTGTTAAGAGAGTCAATTTTTTTAGTGTGTCAAAATGTTCCCCAGTTGATCTAAGATCCAATACGATCCAGCAGGCTTTTCTTTTTTTCTTGTAGAAATTGAAAAGCTGGTTTATATGGAAATGTAGAAGACCCACAATAGCTAAAATAACTTTGAAAAAGAACAAAGTTGGAGGTTAACAGTACCTAATTTCGATAATTATTTTAAAGCTCCAGTAAATCAAAGTAGCAAGCTACTGGTATAAAGGTAGACAAATAGATCACTCATTAACAGAGGAGATCAATATCAACAGACAGTCCAGAAATACATCAAAGGATATCTGATTTTTGACAAAAATGCAAAGGCAATGCTATGGAAAAAGGACAGCCTTTCTAACAAACAGTTCTGGAACAACTGGATATTCATGTGCAAAAAAATGAACTTGGATCCATATGTTGTACCATATACAAAAATTAACTCAAAATGGATCATGAACCCTAATAAGACCTAAGACTATAAAGCTGCCAGGAGAAAACATAGGAGAAAATCTTTGTGACTTTAAGATAGGCAAAGATTTCTTAGACATGATGGCAAAAGCACATTCTTTAAAACAAAAACAAAAACAAAAACAACTGATAAATTGGGCTATTCCAATTAAAAACTTTCACTTTTCAAAAGACAAGCCATAGACTGAGGAAAAATATGTGCAAAGCACCTATCTGATAAAGAACTCATATCATATCTGATAAAGATGGGCCGGGTGCGGTGGCTCACGCCTGTAATCCCAGCACCTTGGGAGGCCGAGGCGGGTGGATCATGAGGTCAGGGGACTGAGACCACCCTGGCTAACACGGTGAAACCCCATCTGTACTAAAAATACAAAAAATTAGCCGGGTGTGAATTGTAAATTGAATATGTAAAGAACTCCCTTGTCTCAACAGTAAGAAAATAATCCAATTAGAAAATGGGCAAAATACTTTTAATAGATACTTCACCAAAGAAGATATACAGATGGCAAACATGAAAAGTTCAACATTACTAGGCATTAGGGAAATGCAAGGACACTACCATATACCTAGTAGAATGGCTAAAATTGGGCCGGATGCAGTGGCTCACACCTGTAATCCCAGCACTTTGGGAGGCTGAGGCAGGCAGATTGTCTGAGCTCAGGAGTTCAACACCAGCCTGGGCAACACCTCTACTAAAATACAAAAAAAATTAGCCGAGTGTGGTGGTGTGTGCCTGTAATCCCAGCTACTTGGGAGGCTGAGGCAGGAGAATCACTTGAACCTGGGAGGCGGAGGTTGCAGTGAACCAAGATTGCACCATTGCACTATAGCTTGGGCGACAGAGTGAGACTCCATCTCAAAAAAAAAAAAAAAAAAAAAGAATGGCTACAATTTTAAAAGACTGACCATACTAAGTGTTGACAAGGATGTGGAGGAACTTGAACACTACGGGTAGAAATGTAAAATGGCACAATCACTTTGGAAAAGTTTGGTAGTTTCTTAAAAAATTAAGCATACATAATGGGTACACAGTTTCAGTTTTGCAAGATGAAAAGAATTCTGTGGATAGATGGTGGTGATGGTCACACAACAACGTGACTACAAAATGCTACTGAACTGTATGCTTAAAATCATCAAGACGGGGTGGGCGCGGTGGCTCACGCCTGTAATCCCAGCACCTTGGGAGGCTGAGGCGGGTGGATCACAAGGTCAGGAGATTGAGACCACCCCGGCTAACACGGTGAAACCCTGTCTCTACTAAAAATACAAAAAATTAGCTGGGCGTGGTGGTGGGCACCTGTAGTCCCAGCTACTCAGGAGGCTGAGGCAGAAGAAAGGCGTGAAACCCGGAGGCGGAGCTTGCAGTGAGCCGAGATCGCGCCACTGCACTCCAGCCTGGGTGACACAGTGAGACTCTGTCTCAATAAATAAATAAATAAATAAATAAAAATTAAAAAAAACCTCAAGACAGTAAATTTTATGTTTGTTATTGCAGTTATAAAAAGTTAAACACTTAACTTGTGACTCAGCCATTCTATTCCCATGTATTTATTCCAAGAAAAAGGGAAATATGTCCATACAAAGACCTGTACACAAATATTCATGGCAACTTATTTGCAACAGTCAAAAATGAGAAGCAATCCAAACGTTCATCAACAGGTGAATGGATAAACAAATTGTGATATATTTATACAATGGAATACTACTGAATGATAAAAAGAAATGAACCTTTGATACAGGTATGAACATGATGAATCTCTACACTGAATGAAAGAAGTCAGACAAAAAGAGTTATATACTTCACGATTCCCTTTGGATAAAACTCTAAAAAATGTAAACTAATATACATTAACAGTGACAGAACGCAGGTAAGTGGTTCTTGAGGAAGAGAAGTGGGACGGGTAAGAGAGGGATTACCAAGGGACAGGAGGAAACTTTTGGGGGTGATAGATATACTCACTGTCGTGATGGTTTCACAGGTGCAAACATACATCACAACTTGTCGAATTCTATACTTTAAATATGTGCAATTTATTGTAAGTCAATTACCCCCCAATAAAACTGTTACAAAATAAATACAGGTTATTTAAATTTTGATACCTTCAGGGAAATCAGTTCAGTTACTAAAGATCTCCATGTCTTTCTTAATTTTATTTTACTATGATTCTTGTTTTTTTTTTTTTTGAGACGGAGTCTTGCTCTGTCACCTAGTCTGGAGCACAGTGGCGTGATCTCAGATCACTGCAACCTCTGCCTCCTGGGTTCATGCAATTCTCCTGCCTCAGCCTCCTGAGTAGCTGGGACTACAGGCATGCGCCACCACGCCCTGCTATTTTTTGCATTTTTAATAGAGTTGAGGTTTCACCATGTTGGCCAGGCTGGTCTTGAACTCCTGACCTCAGGTGATCCGCCCGCCTCGGCCTCCCAAGGTGCTGGGATTATAGGCGTGAGCCACTGTGCCTGGCCTACTTTACTATAATTCTTTTTTTGTTTTTTTTTTTTTCTTTGAGACGGAGTCCTGCGCTCTGCCGCCCAGGGTGAGTACATGGCCGGAGTCTCAGCTCACTGCAAGCTGCCGTCCTCCCAGGTTACGTCCATTCTCCTGCTCAGCTCCCGAGTAGCCCGGACTACAGGAAGCCCGCCACCCCCCTCTGCCCGGGCCTAGTCTTTTTGTGTTTAGTAGAAGACGGGTTCACTGTGTTACCAGGATGGATCTCGATCTCCTGACCATCGTGATCTCGGCCCGTCTCGGCTCCCAAAAGCTGCTCTTACAGAGCTGACCACGTGGCACTATAATTCTTAATTTACTTTACTATATTTACTTTACAGCTATTGTATTGTATTGACTGTAGCCTTTTTTATTAGAAGGAAAAAGAACAGAAACGTCTCTTTGCTAGTTACGAAAAAATTTATGGGCTAGCGATTATTTGTAATTTTCAGAAGACCACCAATAATATAAACCCATGACGTTGGTACAGGTTTTCCAAGTTATAATAACCTCAGCACAATTGTGAACGATTCTGTTCTCGGCACTGATGTTTTGACTCTTTGTATCTTAATAAGTCAGATTTCGTATGCTGGGCGGCAGTGGCTCACGCCTGTAATGCCCAGCACTTTGGGAGGCTGAGATGGCGGATCACGACAGGTCATGAGATCGAGAACCATCCTGGCTAACACGGTGAACACCCCGTCTCTATGAAAATACAAGAAAAAAAACTTAGCCCGTGGCATGTGGTGCGGGGCGCCTGTACTCCCCAGCGCTTACATGCGGAGGCCTGAGCAGGGAGAAGTGGCACCAACCAGGAGGCCAGAGCCGCCACGTGGACTCGGAGATCACGCCACTGCACTCCAGCCTGCGACAGGAGCGGAGACTGCTGTCTCAAAAAAAAAAAAAACCAAAAAACAAAAAACTCAGATTTTCCTAAAGAAATTCCAAAAACAAATGGTGAATTGGGGCTATTCTAAAAGTTGCTTTCTCTTCCACAAAGGGTAGTATAAGCAATACAATGACAGAGCAATTTTGTCTTCATATTTAGTTTTATCTTACCCATCAGTTTATTGACATTTTGTTTCTGTAGGTGGCCAATGAAGTGCCATTTGATCTCAGGACACAAAGACAGAATCTGAGGAGAAAAAGGTAACCATGTGTAACTCAGATTTTACAGAGGCCTTGCTGGCTCAAATGCCTCGTGCACTCCCTGTCACCTTTCACATTCACTCTCTGTTCCTTAAATGTAATAAACTATCACAATCTTCACCCGGCCTCCTAATGAGGTAAAAGGATAGAGAAAAATCTAAGGCTTCTGTTTTATCTTCCTTCCTTGTTCCCATCAATTCCCTCCACCTTTCAGATATCGCCCATCAGGGATGAACTGATTTAAGCTTTCAAATCTTGAAAAGATCCAAGATTACAGCAAGCTCCTGAAACCACCATTTCCAAACAGCCCCACCAAGGAGAAAACGATAGTCTGAACAAAGAGAAAAATCTAGCTGAGAATTACTTGGGGCTCAAGGTGAAAGTTGACATTTCTACCCCTGGCCCAATCTAAAGTCAGTCATCCTAAAATTGCCATACAACTCAAACACCAAGATGGGTCTAATTTTCAACTAACGAGCCAAGATTTAGATATAAATTAAAGAATTCAGCTATCTACTTACTTTAGGATTTGATGCTTTTTCTAGCAGTTCCTGAACCTAAAAGGTCAAAACAGAACAAGTCAGAAGCCTGGCAATCATGATGCTTCCAAAGGGCTTCAGGAAAGGGCTCTTACGTAGTTCTCGCCGAAAGTGCGCTGCCCATGTCCATAGGCCTCGATCACCATGTCTGCAGGTTTGGTTTTGCTGACTGCCACTAGCCGGGGCTGGATGGCTGGAAGATCCTGCCAAGAGGGAAAGAGCCATATGAGTGAATGTTTGGGAACAGTATCCCAATGAATCCCATAGGACAGATCCTGTAGGATAGACGGGCATTGATCTCAACTTGGCATTAGGTAAGATCTATTTTTTCAACACTGTAGGCAGATCAATATCAAATAGTGGTGATCAAATGTTTTTTAGGGGCATGGCATCTCAATCTAATATGTTAGTGATGTCAATATATACCAGAAGAAATTTCTCTCTCAGGAGAGCTGGGCAAGTTAAAGCAGTATTTCCTATAAGCGTGGTCTTTGATCAACTGCATCGGCATCACCTGGGTGAGAATTTCCTTTTTTTTTTTCTTTGAGACAGAGTTTTGCTCTTGTTGCCCAGGCTGGAGGAAAATGGTGCCATCTCAGCTCACTGCAACCTCTGCCTCCAGGGTTCAAGCGATTATCCTGCCTCAGCGTCCTGAGTAGCTGGGATTACAGGCATGCAACACCACGCCTGACTAATTTTGTATTTTTAGTAAAGACAGGGTTGCTCCATGTTGGTCAGGCTGGTCTGGAACTCCCAACCTCAGGTGATCTGCCCACCTTGGCCTCCTGAAGTGCTGGGATTACAGCGGTGAGCTACCGCGCCCAGCGGAGAATTTCCTTTTTAACAATCTCTCCAGATGACTCTAAGACATACTAATGTTGGAGGCTTAAAAATCACTTCATTAATAGAAGGCTGCACTCTGAGTAAAAGAGAGGTCACTTCTGGCTTCTGAAACCCAAACATTAGCAGTTCTGGCGACTCATTCTGGTCCTGGTGTATCATTACACAATAATAACACTGCCCCATTTACTCTAAAAGTGGCCCACTTAGGTAACTAAGTAATTGATTGTTCAATCTGTGAATTAAGAACCAGTGGCACAGCCAGGTGAGCCACACACCTGTAATCCCTGTACTTTGGGAGGCTGAGGTGGGTGGATCACCTGAAGTTAGGAGTTCGAGACCAATCTGGCCAAAATGGTGAAACCCCATCTCTATTAAAATACAAAAACTTAGCTAGGTGTGGTGCCGGGCATCTGTAATCCGAGCTATCTGGGAAGCTGAGGCAGGAGAATCGCTAGAATCCGGGAGGCGGAGGTTGCAGTGAGCTGAGGTTGCACCACTGCACTCCAGCCTGGGTGACAGTGAGACTCTGTCTCAAAATAAAACAAAAAACAAAACAAAACGAAACAAAACAACAACAACAACAACAAAAAACAAAAAAGAAAGAAAAGAAAAGAAAAGAACCAGTGGCAGAACTAACACTGTGACATAAAAAATTCTGGATTCAGGATTAGATCTACGTGACATCCTCTCATGAACACTACACAAAGAGTAGGGGTTCTACGCGTTTTGCTGCCACCCAATCCACATAGAAACGGTAAGAGAAGAGATTCATTTATCCTTGCACGATTCAGTCTTCTTGTATCCATCACCCCCTGAAGTTTTCACAGAATCACAGTGTTCTCAAGGACGTGAAGGAGTCAGATCAATTAGAAAAATGTCTCCTTTTCCTTCCTTCCACAGGGATGCGTAATCAGCCTCTTCTGAGTCCAAGTCGTGACTACTGGGATTATGCTGATGATTGACGTTTTCCAGAGAGTTACCCGAACAGGCAGCCCATCTGCCTGAGAGTTCCCCTGAGAGAACCTCCAGAGTGATGTTTATTAGGGGAAGCCCTAGATTTTTCTTGGAGAATCACCGAGAATCACAGAATATTAACATCTGAAGAGAGCTCAGAGCTTTCAGAGTTGAGGGCCGGAGTAGTTACCTGACTTGTTCAAGGTAAGGTCTAAGGAACAGTGAAGGAAAGACTATAATACAGGTCTTGTCTTCAGCCAGCATAAATGCTCGATCAGAGAAACCCGTGAACTCTCCGTTAAAGGTCAGTCTCATTCCACCACCATTCAGCTTAAACTTGCAGTGAGGTGGGCAGATTGTGATTCTTGGTCTAATCAAAGTCCAAGAGGAGGTAAAATATATACATACAAAAGACGAAATCTCCCCTTAACCAGCTTGGGATTGGACTGCTCCCTCCTGCCCCCAAAACAAGTGCCGCTCTGGTGCCAGCGAAGTCCGGCCAGTCCACCCTCACCTCGGCCTCCGGGCGGCACTGGCATTTCTTGGGCACTTAGCAGGTGAGACGCTGCCACACACGCGATCTCGGGCGTGTCTGGCCTCCGCGGGGTGCTCTTGTACCCCCGTCTCCCCTAACCGTCCGTGGGCACAGGCCTGGCCCCCCTCGCATCCGCCAAGGCTGTCGACCCCGAAACGACGCGGTGCCCAGGTGGCCACGATACCTGGACAATAAGTCATTTTCCCGAGGTAGCGGTACCCCCTGCTCCAACGAAGCCAATCTCCAGAAAACCTAAGAGACTCTGGGTAAGGAGGCTGGGGAAACCGTTCGCTAGCCTTTCCGTGGCCCTAGGCGGCCGACCGGACCCGCCTCTCCGGGAGACCCCTCTGCGTCACCGTGACGACCCATTCCCACGCAGGTGTCCCTCTTCTCAAGGCGGCCGCCCACCGTCCCCACGCAGCCTCCTTCCTCACCCGCGGCCGCCGCGCCACCGCCTGCTGCATGCGCTCGTTCACCGCTCGCAATGCGCATCCGACTCCCAGCTCAGCAGACATGCTGCCAGCTCTCCACATCCCCCGGGAACCGACGCCGAGCCCCAGGCCCCTGGCAGCCCTTGGCACACACCATCTTCCGGTTCCGCCCAGCTCGCGCCGTGTAAACCAATCATTGCTCACCATCGAGTCGTCTCACCCAATCAACACCCATGCAGCGTAGCGGCCCGCCCCCCAGGCGGCGGCCATCTTGAGGAGGTCACCCCCGAACCTGGAAATGGGAGCCTGGGGGCCGAGGTTTTACGTGCCTGATTCCAAGGGCCGCTCGCCGTGTGCTCTCCTCATTCCTGCCCCTCAGCCGCTGCCGTCCCCCCACCTCCAAGGGACTTCTGTGAGGCAAAAACGCATCCTATACTCGGGGGGTCCTGTTCCCTTTCAAAACGCCTTGCCAGGCTTGCCCGTTCCCGGCTTTCTGGGCGCGAGGACCAGGATTAGAAGCCACTGGGGCGGGAGCCAGGGCTTTTCTCTGTCAGATGGTGCTTGCGAGGAACCCCTAAGCGACACGAAAGGAAACTCTTCTTTCTTCTTTTCCCTAAAGACACGGCGTGATTCAAACGTATCGTTATTTTTGTCATCCTTCAGACCAGTGCTGTCCAAGAGAAATAGAACGCGATCCACCTGTGTAATTTGGAGGTTTCTCATAGGCACATAGGTTTAGAAATTTTAATGATATACTTTATTTAACCCAATATATCCAAAGTAAGATTTCAACATGCAATCAATAGATAAACTAAATGCAATATTTTGATTCTTTTGAGAATCGTACGTGTTTCTGAAACCCAGTGTAGTGTTGACTTGCATGTGCCTTAATTCGGACCATCCCTATTTCAAGAGGTTAGCGGCCACCTGCGGCCAGTGCTGCCTCATCAGGGGACACAGGCAGCATGATTGTTACTATTATTATTATTATTGAGACAGTCTCGCTCTGTCATCTAGGCTGGAGTGCGGTGGCCCGATCTGGGCTTACTGCAACCTCCGCCTCCTGGGTTCAAACGATTCTCCTGCCTCAGCCTCCCGAGTAGCTGGGACTAAAGGTGGGAGCCACCGCGCCCAGCCCACAGGCAGCTTTAGATGCTCTAGCAGGAGCTCAGCACATTCAGTTGGATTCTTTTTTTGAGATGAGGTCTCACTATGTTACCCAGGCTAGTCTGGGACTCCTGGGCCCAAGCAATCCTCCCACCTCCGCCTCCAGGGTAGCTGGGACTACAGATGCGGGCCACAACGCCCTGAGTTTCATTCTTGAGTTCCCTTCTGTGGACAATATGGTTATAAACTTGATGAGGAGTCAGACCATAAAAAGATTAACACAGAATGCTACATAGTCAGGTGGTGAAATAGTAGGTGCTATGGGGAAGGAGAAGGAGATCAATTTGGTTAAGGAAAGCACTCTTACCTGCAATTTCTGTTGAAAGATTCTCAAACATTAATTCAACTTAATGAAGTGGGATGCTGTTGTATTAGAGAAATGGCTAATGTTTTTTCTTCAGGTGGTCTTGTCTTGAGGTGATGGGGTTTATTAGAGCTTTCCGGAAAGAAGGGGCAATATTCTTACTCTCTCCTCTCACATTTTTTCACCACACTCCCAGGAACAGAGATAGAATTTCACATCTTCTGCTCTGGGAAAATCACAATAGGCAGAACCTCAGGTCCTTAAAATAAGGGACTTCTTTTTGGAAGTCTCTGGTCATTTACCCTGGTAGACATTAACTGGGTTATCTTCAAACTAGGACTGCTGACATTAGGAGTAGTTGTGTTCAAATAAAATGTCTCTGGACTTGATACATTTGCAGTCCAACCAAAATGATAAAAAATTTGAAATGACCAGAATGGCCCTTTGTGGTGTGAGCATAATAGATACTTGCTGTAGAGACACAGGTGGGAAGGAGCGAGTCAGCAGTGAGTGATGGGGAGGACAGGGGATCACAGTGACGGGATGTGTAGAGGAAGGATTGGGTGAGATGAAACACTTCAAATGATGCGCTATTTGGAAAACATTTTAAAACCACAAATACCTCACAGATCTAGGGAATGTATAATCCAGGTGTTAGGTCACTATGACAAATAGTCGTAGCTTCATTTACTAGATTGGGCCTCTGTTCTATTCTATTTATTTATTTATTTATTTATTTATTTATTTTTTGAGATGAAGTCTTGCTGTGTTGCTCAAACTGGAGTGCAGTGGCGCCATCTCGGCTCACTGCAACCTCTGCCTCCTGGGTGCAAGCGATTCTCCTGCCTCAGCCTCCCGAGTAGCTGGGACTACAGGTGTGCACCACCATGCCTGGCAAATTTTTGTATTTTTAGTAGAGATGGGGTTTCGCTATGTTGGGCAGGCTGGTCTTGAACTCCTGACCTCATGATCCACCCGCCTCGGCCTCCCAAAGTGCTGGGATTACAGTCGTGGGCCACCGTGCCCTGCCAAAGGCCTCTATTCTTTGAATTACAAGGCAAGGTCATCCTCCCACCCCCTTATCCATTCAGTGAACATTTATTGAGGCATTACTCTGTGAAGGAACCCTAAGAGAGACCAGGCTGAGTAAGACAGGCTTTATTGACGATTTACTTCCAATATGCTTTTCATCTCTGACCTTCTGTGATCTTATGAAAATGGAAATGGAGACAAAAAGATCATGGTGCCCCCAGTCCCATGGTCGTTTCACATTCCAATTTCTTTTTAGTTGTACTTTTGAATTAATTTCATTTCACTTTTTCCCGTTTTTTCCTTATTTTCTTTTTTAGTTTCTTCTCTTCCTCCTCCTGGGACATCAACCATCCAAGTTAACCTTTCATCCTCCCCTACAACCTAATCCTTGAAAAATACAAGTCCAAAATAATTTCATCACCAGTAATTGTCTTTAAATTGCTCCAATAATTTGCAAGGATAAAGGGGAAAAGAGAAAGATTAAAAAGCCAAATGCCCAGAGAAATAGATTTTATAAACATTCTAAAATCCAGTATACTTATTCACCATCAATGCCATCAAGCTTTTAAAACACCCTCATAGTCTAGAATAAAACCAAATTACGAGAAAAACATATATGGATTTAAAAATTATTTCCTTCTGAGCCTACTGTGATTCTTTTGAGGGGATAAAAAAGTAAAATAGAAAATTGCTGTTGCCTGGTTACTTAGCTCTAAAGAGAAATGGAGAAATAATGCCCATGTCCCATCCCAGTTTAAATGAATTCAGGTAGAGTAGCCCATGACAGCAAGCCCTTGGCAAACATGCCATCACATCCGGCCTTTGAAATGTGTATATAGATAGTAGAACCCTAGACCTAGGGAAGACTTAGGGAGGTTTCATACAGAAAGAATGACATTTAAACCATCCCAAACAGCACAGAGTCTGCACAATTTCTGAAGACCATCAGAGAAGAATATTTATTTTCTATTTGCAGGTAACTACTCCTCCCCATGTGAAAGTTTAGCAAGCCTGATCTTGGGTTTTTTTTTTTTTGAGATGGAGTCTTGCTCTGTCACCAGGCTGGAGTGCGGTGGCACGATCTTGGCTCACTGCAACCTCCGACTCCCTGGTTCAAGCTATTCTCCTACCTCAGCCTCCCAAGTAGCTGGGATTACAGGCACACACCACCATGCCCAGCTAATTCTTTTGTATTTTTAGTAGAGATGGGGTTTCACCATGTTGGCCAGGATGGTCTCGATCTCGTGACCTCGTGATCCGCCCACCTCGGCCTCCCAAAGTGCTGGGATTACAGGCGTGAGCCACCGCGCCCAGCCTTAGCAAGCCTGATCTTAAGTAAATTCTTTAAAAATCCTCCTTTATTCGAGCAAATTTCCTCTTTTTAGCTACCATTATGTAACTTTTATAATCGTGAAGTCATTAAATGTCCCTTCTGCCTGTCCCCTTCTGGGATCAACCTATGAACTTTCTCTTTTTTTTCTTTTTGGTTTTAATATTTTCTTTCTAGCTTCTTCAAATTTTTTTCCTTTTTAAAATTGGAGCCCAGAACTGGACAATTCCTCTCAACAGGGCCAAATCAGGTTCTTTTCTTTTTTTGAGACAGTTTTGCTCTTGTTGCCAGGCTGGAGTGCAGTGCTGTGATCTTGGCTCACTGCAACCTCCACCTCCCAGGTTCAAGTGATTCTCCTGCCTCAGCCTCACAAGTAGCTGGGATTTCAGGCAAGCGCTACCATGCTCAGTTAATTTTGTATTTTTAGTAGAGATAGGGTTTCTCTATGTTGGTCAGGCTGGTCTGGAACTCCTGACCTCAGGTGATCCACCTGCCTCAGCCTCCCAAAGTGCTGGGATTACAGGTGTGAGCCACTGCACCCGGCTTCTTTTCTTTTCTTTCTTTAAACCAGGTCATTTTCTACACAACATTTTTGTAGAGGTGTGTATCCTCCATACTGTGTTTGCTGCATTGCAATGTCATTCCCTTCTTCTATGTGCTATCCTATTTGTAATCTTATTCCATTTTTTTTTTCACATGTTTGGCTTTCTACTTAGTGGTTCCCATTTAATAGCTGTGTGTTTTTTAGCCCATTTCTCCAGATTGAAAATAAGTTGTTTTTGAATATATACATGCAAGGTACAGTGTGAAAGCCCTTCATATGCATTATTTCATATAAGCCACTCATTTTATTAATGAAGAAACTGAAGCTTAGAGAGGTCAAAAAACTTATTCAAGACCACACACCTAAGAAGTAGTGGAGCAGTGATTTGAACTTTGGCAGTCTAACTCCAGTAACTACACTCTTAATGTACCTATTCAATTGTTAAGATCATATTATTTGTGTAGCAGGCTCTCAAACCAATAGAAAAAGCTTGGGAGCCCCGTTAAAAAAAACCTGAGAAAGCCTGGGCTAGGGGTGCCAGACTTAACAAGTAAAAATACAGAATAACCAACTAAATATGAATTTCACATAAACAACAAATTCTTTGGTATGAGTATGTCTCATGCAGTGTTTAGGACATATAGTACCTATACTAAAAATTGTACGTTGTTGAAATTCATACTTAACTAGGTATCTTATGTTTTATCTGGCTACCCTAAGCTGGGCAGCTTTCCAGAGTAAAGACTGGGAGTTCGTCCACTGAACTGATAACAAAATGAGTTTTAGTTTACTTGAAAATATCTTTGTCCTTTGGAGCTGAATTGCAGTGGTGTGTGAATTGTTTAAAATGATAAATCTCTATAGCACCTACCAAGAATTATGCCATGTTCACAAATTCTGTATCGATAATGGGGCTAGATTTTCATCTGAGTATATTTTTAGAGAGATCTTGTACTTAACTCACTAGTTGGGGATGTTTTATTTCTTTATGTCACCTAATATTAGCTATTGCTAAATTTCACTTTAATAAAAAAGTAGATACAAAGACTCATTTTACTTAGCAAGACTGCAAATAAAACTAAGACATAAATTCACATGGGACTGTTAGTATTGTCCAAAACAATTCCTCCAGCTATCAACCTAAGGCAATCAATCCAGCAGTATCATTTATAGAATGATTACTAAAACAAGAATCATTTCTCAGTTACAAATGGGGTCATTAAGCCCTTGGGGCTCTTTGAAAGTAGAAGTAGTTTGACTATTTAATCATCAGTCTACACAAAGGCAGAAATAAAAAGGAATGGAAATACAAACACAAAATGATTGGTTATTACCTCTTTTATAAGGAAACAAGGAAAAAAAAGAAAAACAGTGGCTAGAAACAACAAAAAAGCAGTGGCTAGAACCCTACTGAATAGAGCTTAAAGAAGTACTGGTTACATTCACAGACACAGTAGCCACTAGCCAAGATATAGTTTATCTCCATCAAACTTAAATAGATAAAGTCGGTAAGTATGACCATCTTACTTTCACTATTTACTCTCTTTAAATAGTAAAGGTATCAGTTTTGAAAGATACATAGAACCACAGGAACAGTGAATGATCATTTATAAAACAGCTCCTTTTCCTGAATCA